AGGAAAATGTAGTTGTGTCCTTTTTTCCTCCTAAAATATTTATTCCGCTCCGCTTCAACGTATTGAGCACTGTTCCACGTGACAATCGACTTGCAGACTCCCTATATATATATATACATATCTGAAGACGGCATGTCTTGGAGAGGTTGTGTCTGAATAGCTAATAAATTTTCATTTCTGCGACTAAAAAGTAAATACAGAACTTAACCAACCGCTCATACAGTTTCAACAAGGTGGAGAGTTCTGGTATGCTTTTATTTGGTTAGGGCAACTCCTACAGTTACAAAAACTGATATTCTTAGAGGCCCTAGAGGTACTAGGTTTTGTGGTGCAAACACTTCTTGATCACTTGTCACATCTTAGACCTCGGACCATGACAGACAGCTTCGTTTGCGATAAAATCAACCTGGAATAAGCGGCATTGCATTACTGTTTTAAAATGTTCCGTTTGCAGTGATCTGTCCTCCAATGAGCTGACTTATATACATAGGGGTACAGTGGAAGGACTCACAGATAAGCTCAATAACTTGTAAGTACGTTAGCTGTACATTACCGCTCTTTGCCCACTACCGGGTAATGCGAGTTTTAAAGGAATATCTTAACAGACCTCACTTATTTTGTGGACGATGAGATCTTTCAGTGTACTTAGGGTCAAATTACAGGCAACGCCTCTTATAGTTCGCGTACTTTTTTTTTTCAGTGAAATATTGAACCCGCCGTGACCATGAGATCTATCAAATATGTAAAAGAAAATAAACGCAACCCCCTCCCTTCGATAGGTATTGCAGTTGTTGCAGTCGGACTGAATAAGTTCAACTCTCTTTATTCTGGTTAATAGGTACCTTCAAAGAAACCAGCTAGAAACAATAGGTGATGGCACTTTGAATCGATTTAAAAACCTCCAAAAATGGTAGGTATTTTTAAACATACTTGCATAAAACACGTAGAATCTCAAAGAATTCGGTAAGGAGCACATTTAAGATGGTGCGGATAACTACCTTTCTAATGCAAGGTTAAGGAAATATTTACATTGCAGGAGGATATGAAAATTTGTATTATTATTCTACCATATTAGATCAATTCCGTTCTTAGACATGGTTTTTCCCGGCAAGGAACTTCAAACCCCACCATTTTTTTTTTTTTTGTTTAAGGTCATAAAGAACACTTAAATGGTTTCTTTTGTATTGTTTGCTTCTTTCACGCATGTGATCATATGCGATCGGTACAATTCCCGGTTAAGACCGTACGCAAGTCGCAAAATCGCATATTATTTCTTAAAACATCGAATGAGGTGTATTTATAGCCTAAAAAAACTATCACTTATCGCAATAAGCTAATTTTATTTCAGATCACACTTACGCGATTGAGATTGCTAATATCCATAATTTATTTAAATCAATTAGATGTTTGATGTTAAAATCAGTGACGAGGCTTTTTCAAATGATCTTTGAAAAAATATTCTGCAGAAATCATCTTAAGATTAAAATTCTCGATGAGCGAAAAGAATGCGAAAGCGATTGAGAAAAATGCCTATGTCAAACAAAAATTGGAAAGAAAATGCAGGAAAAAAACAGTTGGTTACGCGAAATTGTTTTGAAGGTGTCGCGCGACAAAGCCAAAGGGACAAGCCAAACAGTGGGTTTCTTGTTCTATTGTTGCTATTGAAAAGGGGATCGCAACTGGAAAAGAAAACGTTGATGTATTAATCAGAGCTCAATACAATTGTTTATAATACGTGTTTTTTCCGTTTGCGTGGATCTTGTAGCTGGTTGGCCAATAACAAGCTAACATCTGTACCAGATTTAACAGGTCCTAGGACTATTAATTCCTTGTGAGTAATAATGTTGATAATATCTTTCACGGGTAAGCTATAAAATAATTTTAAATGTACAAAGAGAGGTGTTAAAAAAACTTAAACAATTTTCTATCATTCCCGTAATAAAGTAGTCATAATCTAGTCATAATCAAGTTTGTAAGACAGACGAACGTTGTTATCGTTTGAAGGAGGGAGTGGTCACTATACGGGTGACTTAAAGAATATTATTGAACTTAACTTTATTTCAGTATCAACAATGTCGAATTTAATTACTCTTTTTTTTCTTCTCAGACGCCTACAAGAGAATGAGATCACAGATTTATCAAGAATCGCCACATCTGGAATTGAACACGTGTATGACCTGTAAGTGTTTGATTCCTGTGGAAATGAAGGTTTCAATTTGGTGTATTTACCAAGAAACCGGCTTCCTATTCTCTGGATTACTTAGGCTAAAGTGTACCACAGCTCAACTAACATTTGAAAATGTTGTTTTAATCTTCTAGATTACTGTCTAGCAATAAGATCGATCACCTTCCACCAAACATATTTCAGAGAACTCTCGTAGTAGGGAGCCTGTGAGTAACCAAACTACAAAAATAAAGGATAATTTAGTGTTATCAGCTAAGTTGAAAACGTAAATTAGCCTCCGTAAGGGGTAAAAAAGCTGACGTTTCTAGCCTTAGCCCTTCGTCAGAGCGATTGGAGGAATTGTGGGTTGTGTGTGGGTTTATATGCAGAAAGTGGAAGCTACGCCATTGGTGGGAATATATTGACGAGAAAACAGGAATAAATTAGTTGAATGTTGAATGAAAAGCTCTCATTGATTCCGTGGGGATTAAGGATGCCAATTTGGAAGATTAATTTTTGTTCTAGTGTTTTGCGGATTTCCGAACCGCCTAGATGTAAGGAAAGGCCGCAGACTGCCACATGCTGTTTAGGGAGATTAGAATGTCGAACGACTGGTTTGTTTGCGTCCTTGTCATTTCTTTCTACGTCCCGAAGGTGTTCTCGGAATCGGTAACCTAGTCGTCTTCCTGTTTCGCTGATGTACAACTTATTACAATAAGTGCAAGTTATGCAGGAAATAACATTAGCGGAGGTACACGTAAGAACTCCATACCTTTTTCACAGTTTCTCAGACAGTCGT